AGAGAAATTCCCACCTAGCCACGATCAATGTATAACCGTGCAACCTAGCCAAGGACAATGTATAACCACCAAACCTAGCCAAGGACAATGTATAACCACCAAACCTAGCCAAGGACAATGTATATATAACCCCATATCCTAGCTAAAATTAATATATGAATCACGTAACCTTGCCAAGGACTATGTATAAACCACGTTACCAAGCCTAATGATCAATGTATAAACCACGTCACCTAGCTAAGATCAGTATACAAACCACGGAGCCTACCAAAGATCAATGTATACACTATATAATCTAGCAATGCATAAAACTATTACACTATTATTCATATTCAGGCCCATACTAAACATTCTAGTTTACCTTGAAAAGCTTCATAGAAAACGCCGACCTTACCTAACCTTAGTATGTTAAGATAAGCATCTTATTGCTTCGTAATAACAATTATTACTTAACCTATACCTATAATAGGTTAAGTAATAATTGTAATTACGAAGCAATAAGATGCTTATCTTAACATACTAAGAAGGTTAGGTAAGGTCGGTGTTTTCTATGAAGCTTTTCAAGGTAAACTAGTATGTTTAGTATGTCACATATGCACGTATTTAATAAGTCAATATTGACTATACGAAAGTGCGAGAACGGGTTGCAGGCCCACACAAAATATAATTAAATTGTATTTAAACTATAACATCTAACACATTTAAGTGTCTATACAAGACGATGAATGATTGAACGATAACCTAGTAAGACAACTAGCCACACATACCTTCTTCTGGCGGCAGCTGGATGCAACCTCACTTTCTGAATGTTGGGAGCGAACTGAGGAGCGTCTCTTCAGTCTCTCCTGACTTGACCACCACTTCAGTCCCCCCGTTACTGGGGTAGGGGGAGAGTGTAGCGCGAGAGGCTACGTGACCTGCAAGCTATGGGTCTCACCAAGAACACTTGAATTTGCTGTGAGCTTGAGATTTGCTTACAATACTATTGATATATATATATATATATATATATATATATATATATATATATATATATATATTACACACACACACACAAGTGAGCCCTAACCTCGCCATATTCCCTCTATAGAATAATATTATATATATATATATATAAGTCTATATATATATATATATATATATATATATATATATATATATATATATATATATATTACACACACACACACACAAGAGTTCTTACATTCGGGAAAAGCCACTAGCATGCATGACGTTTCGGGCAGGTTCTTAATCCTAAATTTCGGCCGGAATACGACCCCGCCAGATCGTTTAACCCATTCACTGCTGGGTGAACAGAGGCTTACAGTTCAGAATTGGCGCCTAGTCAATCCTCAACGAACAGGATACGAACCCAGGCCAAATTGCACGCGAAGCGCGGGGAAAGTGTTTTACCGCTGCGCCTATATGGTTCAAGTCTACGTCAAGGGGCAGACCATCGTAGTTCCGAGGAAACTGTGACGACAGTTTGACCCGCTAGCCATCCTGGGTAGCTAACTACCTAGGTAGAGGTGTCATCAAAGGGGTACCACTTCCTCCGAGGGTTTTTCACACAAGACATTTTGATGATTTAAATGTTAAATTTTGCCCCGAGGGGCGAGTTTATTGGGCAGCGCCACTCATCCTGTGAGTGGACACACCGCCAGAATGACAGTATTGGGCAGCGCCACTCATCCTGTGAGTGGACACACCGCCATAGTGACAGTATTGGGCAGCGCCACTCATCCTGTGAGTGGACACACCGCCATAGTGACAGTACTGGGCAGCGCCACTCATCCTGTGAGTGGACACACCGCCATAGTGACAGTATTGGGCAGCGCCACTCATCCTGTGAGTGGACACACCGCCATAGTGACAGTATTGGGCAGCGCCACTCATCCTGTGAGTGGACACACCGCCATAGTGACAGTATTGGGCAGCGCCACTCATCCTGTGAGTGGACACACCGCCATAGCAGCATGTACAACACTCCCCAATAGGAAGAAAACCCGCTGGGTTGTTCATCCTGTCACTTGTACCCACAGCTGGGACTTGCTTAAATGTCTCAAGTGAACAGCTCCTCAAACAAGAAGATTAATATTTATCAATCCTTAAAAGCTTACGTTATCTTGCGGGTGCAAAATGGGGGAATCTTTTAAGAACAGTATCAATATTTGACAAATAGTGTTTTCCTAATTCAAACAATGTGGGGTTTATTATTCTATACATAATTCTGATGTCTCTCAGGTGTTCACATTCACGTAGATAGTGGTCAAGGCGGTGTCCATCACTCTCACCACAGATTCTACAACTTCGCTGATCAACTGTTGTTTCCATTCCATATCTCCATGGATATTTGTATCCAAGACGGATTCTCACTATTACTGATTCTCTCCCTCGTCCTCCTCCTCTTCGGCCATAATGATAGGGATTGCCAGCTGCAACCATGTTGTACCATCGTACAGATTCACTGGTTTGTGCTTCTATCCTCCTTTCCTCAGTTACCTTGTCACGGTGATGTTGCCTGACAATACCTCTAATTTGTAGTAGAGTCTTGGGTATGAAGTATTCAATATGGTCTCCTTCAGCGCCTTCAGCAGCCAGCACATCTACTCGTTCATTCCCACATATTCCAACATGGGAGGGGATCCACAGAAACTTGACTTGAATCGGTGCAAATCACTGCACCATTAGTGTTCCTTTCAAGAAACCTTAGCGCCATAACAATGGCAATTAGCTCTGCTTGCGCTGAAGAGGCATAGTTCTCATTACGTGCGCTTTCTTCATTTCTGCGTTGGAAAGTATTATCCTTGATTACGGTGTATGCTGTACCAGCCCTTCCATTGACAGGATTAGATGACCCGTCAGTGTAGATTTGATCTAGTTCATCTCTGGCTTCTTTATAAATTACCTCGAGATACTTGTGCCTCATTTCTTGTGGTAACATGTTGGATTTTTTCATTGCCATTTCATTGATGATAATCTTGCACGAGTCATCCTCCCAGGGAGGTAACCTCTCTACTGGGAGGAGCTCACGGGCTTGCTCAAGCAGGTGAAGCTCTTCGAGGTAGCAGACTGATCCGTGATATTTTTTGCTTCCGTTTTCCCCTGAAATTAGCACAGAGCTCAGTTTTTTCTTAGCAATATCATTGTAATGGGGGATCTCTGGCTATCCTAATTGCAAGCTTAGCATTCAGCTCCTTAATTCTGCTTTTAACACTGGGGAGGGACAACTACTCTCGTAGATTAGACGTTTTGGCAGTTCATGAAACTCCAAGAATGATGGTCATGGCTTCATTTTGAATGCTTTCAAGCCTTTTCATATCGCTTTGGGAGTAGGTGCACAAGACTGGTGCGGCATAGTCTATGACGGAGCGCACATAGGCTGTGTACATCCTTTTAAGCACGGCAATAGAGGTTCCATGTCCATTCCAGGTCATAGCTTTCAGTGCCCTGAGTCGACTTTTGCATGTTCCTGAGTTGACTGAGCTCCTTTTTCTTCCCCTTGTTAGAGCCGACAGTGACGCCAAGGTACCGATAGTGGTCAACCCATTCAAGTGTTACACCATTAATTTGCAGTTCTTCATTTGCTCTCCGCTTGTGATGGGAATATGCCTTCGTCTTGTTTATGGAGGAGTGAAACCGAGCTCAATACATTTTCTTTCAAGAAGTTCAATGGACTGTTCAATTTTTCCCAAGGTGGGAGCTTGTATTAGGACATCATCTGCATATCCCACTTGTTGTGTTCCTTCCGGAAAATCAATATTTGCAATGGCGTTCATAAGTACTTTTCATAGAGTCCGGAAAAAATCAAGCTAAAAACCAAACTTAAATATTACTAGGCTCGGTATAGCACATATTATATACTAAATTAGAGCTCAGATAGCGTGCATTAGGCCTAGGATTGCTAGCACATGTTAGGTTAGATCTTATATTTATGTCTAAAAAATTTTTGGTTTGTCCAAATTCAGAATATGTCTGCTCTCTGGTGGTTGATCATGACATGTGTACTATCCACCACATAGTTACTGTAAGTACTTTCATTTTAGGAGAACGAACTGTGGTCCAAAAGCAGTGACAGTTCTTATTTATTAATGCCCTTATACGCCAGAAACGTCTATAAATTGGATCATATAATTCTTGTAGAATTTGCAATTGTGCATACTTCCGTTGCCTTAAGAACCCTTCAGTGGTTCTAAGGCCTTAAGCTCAACACCAAACTAATCCATTGCAGTCGCTATATTAGTAATTAAGATGGATTTTATTTGTCCTCCACATAGCAGGAACCAGTGCGTGTAGAAGTCGCTCCACACCTGCTGCTCTTCCTTCTCATCTGAACTTTGTCCGAAAATATTTGTGTGAAATTCCATCCAATATATTTTATTAATGTTTTTAAATATATTTAGGAATTAGAGGAAGAGATAGAATAAAAGAGGAAAGAGGGGGGAAGACTAACAAGCTGTATTGCGAGTACCATTCCCCTGGTTAAGGCAATTAAGCCCTCACAACAGGGTGGTGCCCCAGACCTGCGGGTACACCCAGGACCTGCGGGTGGTGTTCGACCTAATGTTTATACACAGATACACCAAGAGGTGTATCTCACTTTCTCCGTGTATATACACATACGTATGTACATACATACATACGTGTATATACACGTATATGAACACTGTACATTAAGTATACAGTTACATATACACTAAGACAATAACAATGAGAGTAGCGTCACGCGTCAGTCATAATTGTTATCTTCCGACCCATTTACTTCTCTTTACTATCTACCACGAAACATCAAAGCACAGTTCTTGAGACGCCCTCAGCCAACTACACCTCCACGCCGGAATATATATATACTGGAATCACAAACGTTCGTAGAAATTTTCTACCGTCTTGGGTGGCTCAATATTATTACTATCCTGATGTTGACGGTAATTTTTTGAGATTCCCTACAGCGTTGACCAAACCATCTTCCACTGGTCGTATTTCAGAAGAGAGTGGATCACCTCGTCGCAATTTTGACACAAGGCTGGCTACACCCACGACTATGCCGCCATATTGACTGGATGGGAGTGGGTAGAGTACTGCCCTCTGCTCACATTCCGGCTGGTACTCGTTGCCTCGCCCGGTGATTCTGATTGACCATCAGAATTCCCGCCACCAGACGAGCCACGCCGTGCTGGTCGTTAACAACCCTCCATGGTTGTTAACCTCGTTCTCCCTGTAACATTGAGCAAGAAAACATTACTCTTAAATACCTCTTCTATTCCGAGGCGACGTAATAACACGATAAAAAAAACTTTACGTAACACCAGTTATCAGGAGCAACCTGGGGGTCAACAGTGTTATTGAATAATTTTGTGTTTTATAAGCAAGATATTTACAAGATTTTTGAAATGCTGAAGTAAGAGTATGTTAGGTCACCAGCCTGTCGGCAAAATGAGTTCCATTATATTGGGTATTTCGGGAGAGCAGATCGTCGACATTGTAGTGATGGGTGTATCTTGACATGATTTCGGGGCTTAGCGTCCCCGCGGCCCGGTCCTCGACCAGGCCTCCTTTTTGGTACACATCCCCCAGGAAGCAGCCCGTAGCAGCTGTCTAACTCCCATGTACCTATTTTACTGCTTGGTAACAGGGACATCAGGGTGAAAGAAACTCTGCCCATTTGTTTCCGCCTCCCCCGGGGATCAAACCCGGAACTTCAAACCCGGATCAAACCCCTCCTCTTGTTCAGTCGTTTACTCTTGAGAGATAAATATATTACGGGCTCACCATAGCCCGTGCTACATGGACACTTCGTTCTGAGTAGCTAAATCTGAAACATCATCATCTTGAGAGAGGGACCTGCAGAGAAGAAAATAGAGGGTACACGCCCTAGTATTCGACGAAGTCTTATCTCAACTTGGAGTTTCTTAATATATTACATATTGTAAGGTGTCTATATAGCTGTTTGCTTATTAATTTTACCCATTGTCTTCACAGTACTATTTCTAAATCTTAACAAAGCCTCGACAAATTTTTTTATTCAGACAATGTCATTATATCTTCATTTTAACAGTCGATTAAACCTGGCAAGGTGAACAGTCGAGCGTGAAGCACTAGTCACATGTTCACTTCATCAATATACATGAAGTGTATGTTGCATCAATATGTTGACCAAACTATACACTAGAAAGTGAAGGGACGACGACGTTTCGGTCCGTCCTGGACCATTCCCAAGTCGATTAACTTGAGAGTCGAGTTAACCAAGTCGAATCGACTTGAGAAAGGGCCAGGACGGACCGAAACGTCGCCGTCCCTTCACTTTCTAGTGTGTGGTCTGGTCAACATATTTCAGCCACGTTATTGTGACTCCTCGTCTGCACTTCATCAATATACATGAAGCAGCAGTCACATATACACTTCATCAATATATATGAAGCAGCAGTCACATATATAGCAACAGAACAAAGGCATTATTACATAAAGATCATACTTTTTATTCTGACAGGGAAGGTGTTTTATCCCAGGAACTAAACGTCACTACTGAGGCACTAACTAGACGATAACTCACACCTGACCGTCAGTTACTGAGGTCATTAGCCTCTCGTGTACATAGTGTGAGGAGACCCACATATACGTATTATCCAAGACGTTTAATAAACGCCTATGTTGAGGAAGGCATTAATATGGATGACGCATGATAAAATCTTTGATGAAAGTATGATAGCAGTGTTAGTTGGTTGATAGCGGGGTTCGTTGGTAAGTATATGCAAGATAACAGCAGTCTTCCGGATGATGTACAACAAAGACATATGTTGGGGAGACCAAGTGTACTTTCTCTGTCGTAACTGGGAGAGTTGATATAACAACAGTAGAGATGAGTACTATGGTGGTGGAGGAGCGACTCTTGACTTAGTCGATGATCTGGGCGTGGTAATGGGTGTTGGCGTGATAATGGGTATGTGCGGGTAGTGGTCGTGGGCGTGGTCGTGTCGTAGTGGTCGTGGGCGTGTCGTAGTGGTCGTGGGCGTGGTCGTGTCGTAGTGGTCGTGGGCGTGGGCGTGTCGTAGTGGGCGTGGTCGTGTCGTACTGGTCGTGGGCGTGGTAGTGTCGTAGTGGTCGTGTGTGTGTGATTGTTGCAAGCAGCCAGAACATCTATGACATCAAACTGGCTTCGGGCAGCAACAGCCAATACATGTATCACACCAAGCTGGCTACAGTCAGTTACAATAAGTTCGTGATTAACACCAAGCTGGCTACAAGCATTTACAGCACATTTGTGTGTGTCACAACAAGGATAGAATCGTCTGTTTATGCGAGTACGGGCAAATTATAGACAGCAGGAAATAAAACAGTCGATTTTTCTACAGCGTCAAAGGTTTCTCAGTCAAGGCTCTTTTTCACTATAAGGGGTAACTATTGTTTCTTAGTATTTCACACCACTGAACTGCTCTCACTGGCGACCTCCCACACATTAGACAACTATATTTTTTTGTAAGGTATAGAGACAGATAGACAGAGACTGAGACAAAGACAGATAGAGAGACAGATAGACAGTATAAGACGGATAGACCCTGAAGTCTACTCCTCCACGACAACACTGTCTTTGGTTCACCCATAAATACCCCCCCCCCCCCCGGAGTGGGGTGGGGTATTAATAAATAAATAAATACCCACTGCCACCCACCCAGTAAGGGATCTGGGCTGTATCCCGTTCCCAGACGTTCAGTGCTTGGGTTGCTGCATGTCATTAATTTTTTTTAAATTTTGCCCCGAGGGGCGAGTTTATTGGGCAGCGCCACTCATCCTGTGAGTGGACACACCGCCATAGTGACAGTACTGGGCAGCGCCACTCATCCTGTGAGTGGACACACCGCCATAGTGACAGTATTGGGCAGCGCCACTCATCCTGTGAGTGGACACACCGCCATAGTGACAGTATTGGGCAGCGCCACTCATCCTGTGAGTGGACACACCGCCATAGTGACAGTATTGGGCAGCGCCACTCATCCTGTGAGTGGACACACCGCCATAGTGACAGTATTGGGCAGCGCCACTCATCCTGTGAGTGGACACACCGCCATAGTGACAGTATTGGGCAGCGCCACTCATCCTGTGAGTGGACACACCGCCATAGTGACAGTATTGGGCAGCGCCACTCATCTTGTGAGTGGACACACCGCCATAGCAGCATGTACAACACTCCCCAATAGGAAGAAAACCCGCTGGGTTGTTCATCCTGTCACTTGTACCCAGACACAGCTGGGACTTGCTTAACTGTCTCAAGTGAACAGCTCCTCAAACAAGAAGATTAACATCTATCAACCCTTAAAAGCTTACGTTATCTTGCGGGTGCAAAATGGGGGAATCTTTTAAGAACAGTATCAATATTTGACAAATAGTGTTTTCCTAATTCAAACAATGTGGGGTTTATTATTCTATACATAATTCTGATGTCTCTCAGGTGTTCACATTCACGTAGATAGTGATCAAGGCGGTGTTCATCACTCTCACCACAGATTCTACAACTTCGCTGATCAACTGTTGTTTCCATTCCATATCTCCATGGATATGTGTATCCAAGACGGATTCTCACTATTACTGATTCTCTCCCTCGTCCTCCTTCTCTTCGTCCATAATGATTGGGATTGCCAGCTGCAACCATGTTGTACCATCGTACAGATTCACTGGTTTGTGCTTCTATCCTCCTTTCCTCAGTTACCTTGTCACGGTTATGTTGCCTGATAATACCTCTAATTTGTAGTAGAGTCTTGGGTATGAAGTATTCAATATGGTCTCCTTCAGCGCCTTCAGCAGCCAGCACATCTGCTCGTTCATTCCCACATATTCCAACATGGGAGGGGATATCTTGAGAGGTTATCTTGAGATGATTTCGGGGCTTTAGTGTCCCCGCGGCCCGTTCCTAGACCAGGCCTCCACCCCCAGGAAGCAGCCCGTGACAGCTGACTAACTCCCAGGTACCTATTTACTGCTAGGTAACAGAGGCATTCAGGGTGAAAGAAACTTTGCCCATTTGTTTCTGCCTCGTGCGGGAATCGAACCCGCGCCACAGAATTACGAATCCTGCGCGCTATCCACCAGGCTACGAAATGGACGTTAAGCTAATTGGACGATAGTTCGACGCTAGTGATCTACCTCTTTCCTTTAAAATCGGCGCCACTTTTGCAAACCTGCACAATTCCTACATTTTAGTGTTTCTAATGATATACTGTATTAAATATGCAGGACGAGGGTTCACTAAGCTGTTCTTTAAATTTTTTTAAGCACCCTGATAAATATTTCGTAAGTCCCGAGGTCCAGACGATTTTGTAATTTTTGTTTAAATTGTTCAATAAATTCCTCTCTGGTAACCAAACTAGTCAGCTTGTCTTCACCTCCTCTTCAGTTGAAGGAATAGTATCACTTATTCTCTTTAATAAACATAAGTAAAATACTTATTTAAAATCCCACGCACTTCTTTGTCACTGTCAGTTTCCAATGACCTCTGTGTTTTCGTAATATTTTATTTACTAAGATACAGAGATACAGAGAGAGAGAGTTAGAGAGAGAGAGAGAGAGAGAGAGAGAGAGAGAGAGAGAGAGAGAGAGAGAGAGAGAGAGAGAGAGAGAGAGAGAGAGAGAGAGAGAGAGAGAGAGAGAGAGAGAGAGAGAGAGAGAGAGAGAGAGAGAGAGAGAGAGAGAGAGAGAGAGAGAGAGAGAGAGAGAAAGAGAGAGAGAGAGAGAGAGAGAGAGAGAGAGAGAGAGAGAGAGAGAGAGAGAGAGAGAGAGAGAGAGAGAGAGAGAGAGAGAGAGAGAGAGAGAGAGATAGAGAGGGGAAGGGGAGAGGTACCCCCTCTCACCTTCCCCTCTCTCTAACATAAGGGTACCCGTATATATAAATGCCCGAAACGCTTTGCGTAATAGTGGCTTTAGGCATTGTATGTACTAGCTCTACCTATAAGTCAACCAATCTTTGTAAAAATTTCTTGCATGTATGTACCTTACCTTAATAAACATTTATTTATTTATTTTTATTTAACTTCATATATATGCGTGTGTTAGCTATTTTTGGTCTCGATCGTTTACAG